GAAAGCACTTAGCATAAGGAAAGGTGTGGGAACGTGTAAGGCCATGTACTCTGTAACCTTGCTTGGCTGCCTCTTTCTACAGATCCTGTTAATGAGATTGTAAAGACCTAGCAGTTGATTCTGGATCACTTTCTCCTCCCCAAAAGAGCCGTAATGAAGGAACGGGGATGGTTGGATAGTGTGCATGTGGGATCGTGTGTGCTCAGCTACAGGAGTGGGCAGAGGGCATTAGAAGCAGCGGGCAGAATGTGCAAGCGGTATCTGTGTGGGGAGCTCAGAAAGCCCCAGAAAAGCTGCTAAGTAGACTGCTGTTCCCGACCGCGGGTTTGCCAGCCAGCTGAACAGATTGCTGGTGCATAAGAGCAGCATGCAGCAATAGGGAAGGGAGCGAAAAGGCACAGTGTGGTGGATGCTGTGGAGTCGGGCATGAGAGCTCGCTGATTTATTTTGTATTTGTAAATTAAATGTTAAGCTTCTAATCAGTGCTATATAAAACAGGAAAAAATTGAATTCCTGCTTAACCAGCTCATTATCCACATAGCTGGACAGCAGAATAACAAGTGATTGTAGGAAATGTTTTCCATAACGTCTCTCTGCCCCAGTCTTTGCACTTTCTGAAGGGACAGAATTAACATGCGGTAAAACCATTGAGAGCTTTGGACATTGATCTCAATGCTGTCAAAATCCAACCTTTTGGAGGATTAGCCATGTGGACCAGTCCTCCAAACCATAATACTGAGATGGGAACAACAGGAATAAGTGTGGGCAAGCCATTTCAGGACAGAATAGTTTTGGAAGCCTTTCATTCTCCCTCCCCCCCCGTCACTAATAAGGGACAAATGCTGGAACAAAAGGGTTAAATGCAAGTTGTGCTCAGATAAACAGATCTATGGGAGATAAAGCAGTTGCCATGCCAGCTGACATCGAAAGCAGCCAGCACAAATTTGGCACGAAGGAGATGATCTAAAAGGCTGCACTGAGCTCCAAGGCTCATCATACGCAGGCTGTTTCTTGGCTTTAGCTTTGCCAGTCCTGTTCACTTTAAATCAGAAGCAACAATTGCTTGCATCAAATTTCTCATCCGTTGGAGGATAGTGAGGAGGTAGTTATGCTTTCTGGGGCTCAGCAAATGAAAACCAAGGAAGAAAGTCTGATAAATGTGCAAGAAAAGGGCATGAAAGATCTGCGTCTCTGTCACTAACTCTATGGGTAGCTGCTGGCAAGTCCTTTGACTTTTTTTCTTTCTTCTCTTTCATCTCTGCATGTAGAAAATAGAAATAAGCAATATTTTCTGTGCTTGGTTTCTCTGTTTCGTCTTTGGAACTGATAATTCAGTGTGCTGATGGATCTCCTCTAGGGTCTCTAAGTAGTACTGCAAATAACATCTAATTAACAATGACAGTTAAAGCACTAATGGAAGATTTGCTTCCCAAAGAGTGACACTTACCTATTCAGTCTGGTCAGATAATGAATAACATTCTCTGTCAACATACTGGATAAACCATCCTTTGTCAAGGATAACATTAGCTTCCTCAGGAGTTTATTGACTAATGTGAGCAATTATTGATTTTAAAAATGGTGTTCTAAGACATTGTTTCATATCTGCTGTTGGGTCCATTTTTCTGTAGTTTGGGCTGTGCTGTTATTTAACTACATGTGAGGAGCACAGGTGTCAATGTAAGTCATGACTATAATCCTTGAATTAAAATCCTGAAAAATGGGGTTCCAGTCAAAATGCAGATGAAAAGCATATTTTATTTATTCTTCATTTCCGGGAGAGTAATGTATTTCATCTAGCCTGTTGCATAATCCTCTTGATGGGCTTTCTCTGCTTCATCAGTGAAGTCTGATGCACCCGTTTCTCATTGTTTATGTCCTAAGAGTAAGGCAACGAGAGGACTCGTGTGAAGGCCCATGCAGCAAGGTGCCCTACAATTTTGCCCATTACATCACTGACACCAGAGTAAATTTGCTGAGGTCTCTCTAGGGTCAGAAAGTCACTCAGGTGAAAAAAAAAACAAACAACACAAAAATACAGTTTCAGGGTAATAGGTTGAAAAAGGAGAGGGACCGCCCTATGTCTGGGCTTCCTTGAACCCCACCTCAAATGCAAGCTCAGGCCTTGTCCCTATATATGTAGACACGTTAAATGTTAAGCACAGAAATATTCCCAATGAACTCCATCGCCCTCTCATACACATGAGCAAACGTAGCCATTGGCACAGTTATCTGTCATGTAAACATCCATATTCTGGTACAGGGTACATAAACATATGGTGTCAGAGAGAAGGGCAGCCGCAGCACGCAGGAATTTAAAGCCAGATGATGGCTATATGTTCCCTCATTGTGTGTTTATAGAGATAAATATATATATATGCATACACGCACAAATATAACTGTATATATGTGTATATTATCCCAACACTCATTAGATGAACTTTGGCTTTTAGTTGTAATTCAGGGCATAATGTTCAGTGTAAATCTAATTGACTTTCCAGTAGCTTAACTTATTAGTGAAAATTAGGTTGATGGATCAAGCCTAAAAGCCTGTATAGTAAAAGGTTGTACTGGAACTTTCTTCAGTACGTTAGCAAAGACTCAGATGTAGAAAAAAATGTTAATAAAAGGCAAGTTTTCTCCTACAGCAATCAGAAAATTAACATTGTCAGAAATGTGAATGTGAATCCCTTCATAATGTCCAAACACAGTTAAAATGCAATAATTATTTGGGTATATAAAAAAATTATTAATATAAAAAAACCTTTTAACTTTACAAACCTGCATTAATATAATGTTTTAACTGTTATTACTGATGTCATGAAATTCAAAATGAACTAAAATCTAATATTTTAACATCAGTGGGACCAACTACCACCCATATTCAGAGTGAAATAATGGTAATTTTTATTTCTTCCTTTTTAGATTATAGGAATAAAATAGCTAAATTTAAAACATTTACATTTCAAAAAAAAGATATTTTTCTAATCAATCAGTGTAACATGCCAGGATGCCAGGAACATCAGGCTTCAATCTACTTAATATTGACCTGGTCTTCCTCCAACAAGAATTCTGGAAAGTTTGTAATATCACATTTCAAGATTTAAGCCACAGTGTACAACTGATAAACTTAAACTGGATTTTTATGAGTCAAAATGTTTTTTGGAAGTTTTTTTGCAGCTTCTTCTTACCCTGCTTCTGTGGGTCAGGCTACTGAGTGAGGTCACCTCATGTGAGGAACCAGTTCCATTCTGAGCTACTGATTTGAGTGGCAGCAGGCTGTGAAAGACACTGTGAAAGATAGTGATCAAGGAACAGTGGCTTGCTCTTTGATCCTCTGCCTAATAAAACCACAGGTAAAAATTCCCACAGGATATCCTAAAGTTGGTATTCGGAATTCAGATTTTAGCAACATAGAGCTATATCACTGTTAATAAACCTGGGTTTTGGTAGGCTCAGGAGGGAAACAGGTCCATCCAAAATATTCTGCAGAAGCATCCCTGTTATTCTGCCAAGAATGTGGAGCACAGCCATTGCGCTTCTGCAGCATCTGGTAATTTAGTCTGATGCGGCAGGTTGAACGATCTTTGCTGGAAAATGTTTGCTCAGAGCATTGGTGACTTCTCTTCAGAATTAGTACTCCTACCCAACATTTGCAAACATTCAAGAGCCCTCATATGTGAAATCTTGAAAGCAGCTGGAGCTGGGCAGAGAAGCCAGGAGACCAAAGGAGTTGTCATCATGGCTTTCAGGATTAACCCTCCAGAGTAACCGGTGGGTTGAATGTGTAGGTTTGATGTCGAATACATCCATTCAAGGACACAGTACAGCCTACCTGATGCTTCAGCTTAGTTTTCTGGACTCCCACCATCATCTTCACACTAAACCTTCTGTTTTCTATCTTAGAAGATCAAGAAGCACATCTGATTTATTTTAGATGAGACAGAAATCAATGAATTTACAATTATTACATGATAAGGAATTTGAAAAATTGTAAAATATAAAATGCATTTTATGCTGTGCTGAAAAGACTCTCTTTACTATTTTGTTTCCTTAGATGCTGTCTTTCTCCTTTCCCCTAGGATCAAAATCAATCTCTGTTTGGATTTCACTTTTAATAAAAAACATCTCATACAAATTGGTGAATGGCTTTTCCAGTCCCTAGTTAAGATATGACCATATGTTCAGGGTTAAGGAAGAACAACCCGAAGCCCTGTGGTTACTCCAGGGGATACAGAACTAAGCTAATCTAAACATTTAACCTGCCGTAGCGGTCAATGAAACATTGGAAACATTTTTTCACCAGTTGGTGGGCCACCGTCAGAGCTATTTGCGGACAGCTTTGTCAGGCTCCTCGGTGTCTCTCTGTGCATGATGCAGCAGCACCACTCGGTGGCTTAAGGCAGCTCCTCTTTATGCATCCCCCAAAACCGAGCTTGAGCCAAAATCCACTGGGGACTTGGGAAAGTCTGACTTCAGTGCAATTCGGGTTAAGTATTTAGTAGGGTGGGTAGGAGACTGGTTTGAGATAATCCCCACATTTTATTTTGGAAGGACAAAAGTACAGAAAAAATTTTAATGCAAACCCAAACTTTTATGATTTCCCATTGTAACATTTCGTGTTTTTAATATACAAATCAGCATGAATTTCGGCACAATATTTTGGAAATGTATGGGTCTTTCTTATTTCAGAACCCTCCCCCCTTCAAAAAAAAAAAAAAAAAAGAAAAAAAAACCCAAACCACAAAAAAGCTCCTTCATCTCATTTTCATCTCCTTCCTAGAGTTTGATGAAACTCCATGATAACCAGAGATTTAATGATACAATGCAATCAACCATCTTCTGAAAAGCACTTTCCACCCATAAATATACAGTACTGATCTTGAAAAAAAGATTTAAACAAAATTTTCTTGCAGTTCTTCTCTGGGCAGTGCTACATCCACTCCTTTTATGGGAAGCAAGCTATTATCACGATCAAATTATTTTTATTCTTCTAATTTCAGGTTGGGAAGTAGATAACTTGGGGCAAACCCATGCAGGTAAGAACCAGTTGTGTTCACTACTTCCTATGTACCTCAGTTCTCAAAAATTGTATGTAGGGCACATGATAATACCAGATTATTGAAAATTTGTTGTGTATCAACCATTGTGATAATGAATACATGTAGTTCACTGTAACACTGAGATAAAAAGTGAAAGTACAAATCTGATAAGTTTCTAGAAATCAATGTGATCTAACCTAAAACCACAAAATTAAACTGTCTTACTTAAAACCAATTAATTATTGCTTTTTGTCATTGATGGATGAAAATATTTTTTCATGAATTCTGTGAAAACTGACCATACTTAAGTATCTATGGATTATAAATGCAAATTTCTAAAGATATAATAACTGACTTCTACATTTTTCCAATAAAATTGGTCATATTTTGATTGTATGTGTTGTTAGCTATGTGCTCGCTGCCTGCACTAGAGATTTTATAATTTTGTAGGTTCAGCTTTGATTTAAACTCACAAGTAAAACTGTGTTTACTTCCTGAAAAGACAGAATCAAGTATTTATTGCATTTGGGCCTGACCCAAACAAATAAAAATCAATTGGATTCTATTCACTGATTTCCACAGAGACTAGTTTGGGTCCTAATAGAAAACACAATCAAAACAATTTCATACCAAATTTCCACTTTTATAGGTGATTATGACCTGCTGGAAAGCACAGCCCAGTCTCCCCTAGGTAAGAAACAGAACCATGGAATGTTTCTCTTTTTATTTTAACTCTGTTAAAAAGGAAGCTCCAAGCTTTTTTCCCTGCCATTTAGGTATTATTTTCTAATCAGTTCTAATTATGGTGACACATTTTCTGGTGCTTTACTTTTAGCAGTATTATGAAAATTGCGTTGCAATCCAGCAAGTATGTTGTTATAAATTATATCTACCTGCTTAACAGTAATTACTAAATGGTGTTAAGGAAAGTCAACACATGATTCAGTGGTTATTTTCCATAGAAAACTGGAGATGAATGTGCAAGAGAAATTTACCAAAATTTGCCGAGTAATGCAATGTTCTTAAATGAATGCCGTGATTGAATAGATATATTCTGCTGCATGGATGGCAAACAGATTCTCTAAAAATAAGGTCACTGCTGGTGTTATGAGCTACTTGAATAAACTGCTGTAAGAATGCGAAGCAGCACAACCTTAATTAAAAAAAAAAAAAAAAAATCAACCCTTGGAAATTTCCATCAATTTTGTTCAAGGTACAGCTCAAACTCCAAAAACTGTAATAGTTTGATAAATGGAAAATGTTCTATTGTGTTTGAGAGGAATAAGTGCAGCGAGCAGCCCGGGTCTAATTTTTCAACCAGGTCACTGAGCTCTAGCAAGAGTAATGGTGGTGAAAAAGAGCACCACGGGGGCCATCCCACGTTAGGCAGCCTCAGTAACAAAGTGAGTGTCAAGAGAGACTTTCCTCTTCTTCCCCCAGCTCTTGTTTCCCAATAAAGTTTTATGCCTTTTGATTGTGTCAGTGAAAGCCATTTAGGAGCTAGTCCTTATATATGAGATTAACCAAACAATTAGGGTAAAAAGAGAGAAAAAGAGAAAGAGGTTTTCTCTGACCCAGTCTTCACCCTTGCAAACGCTTTCTTTAGAGTAAGGTTATAAACTGGGATTGGAACAAATAATAGGCAGAGGAATGTGAGAAGCTCTGAAACGGGTTTGAAATTGTCAACTGAAACCACACTGGGCATCTGGAGGTGTAAATGAACATACTGCTCTGAAGACAGACAGGGAAGAGATTCCCACTCCATCTTTCCTTTGTTTTCCTACAGACCATCTCACAAAGTCACCCTCAGATCAGAGCCTAGGAAAACTAGAGCCTTGAAGATAAATGAGTGGGATACATGTTTTCTGACTGTAGGAGAACAATCCACCTCCCTCACCATAGACATATAATGGCTATTCTACATATCCTACAGTACCCTGCCTGGCTTCCAGCAGCTGCTGCAAAAGATCATGTTAGCCCTGTGTTTTCTTGCCAGGCCCATGCAGATGCCTCAGCTATAGATCGTCTTAAATAGCACAGAATGCCTACCTATATTTAAGCACTGGGCTTAACCTTTAGCCATCTGAAGTGTAGATGTCTACATCAAAGCTGTATTCCCTAGATGCCTTTCAGACTCAGTGGAGAGAAATGGATATTTAGCTGACCCCTGGTTTAGGTACCCACTTGGGAATGAGATCTTTGGTGGCCTGGAGGCACTGACTATACTAGTTAAATCTTTTTTGCTCTCTGGTGACCAGCTGTAGTAGTAGACATCTGTTAGGTGCCTATTGTAGAATTGGGTCATTAAAGATGTCATTAAACTTTCAAGATGCCATTAAAGTCTTCTATGGATAGCCAGATAAATAGTACCCCCAGTGGTACTGAGGGGTTTTCTTTGGTCATGTACCAAGGGGAAGGAGGATATGTCCTGGGGTTTGCTTCAGCAATGTCACATTCCCAACTGTACTTGACATAGGGGACATCAGCAGAAATTGCACTGAAGATGGCTGGTCTGAACCTTTTCCTCATTATTATGATGCCTGCGGCTTCGATGAAAACGAAACAGAGTCCGATAACCAGGTGAGAATTAATCTTATGATTAAAAAAAAATGAAGGGGGGGAGCAGCAGGCTGCTTTTTGTCCAGCCTCTGGTCATATTCTGATTTGATGGTGATTACGATGAACAATCAGATATTTATGGGCATAAATATGTGAGAAGCAAGATTTAAATCCTTCCTAGCCCTGTACTGAATAGTTCCAGAATACGAGTGTTTACTGTTGATACAGCTTGTAACTTCTAGAAGCATGGGTTAGCCCCCAGTTCTTCCCCTATTGACTAAAGAATCCCTTAGCCGACTACTTTTTCTCTACAGATACATGCACAGTGATCAAAGAAATATAGACAGCCTTTACTAGCTCACTGACAAATAAGCTTCACAGTATGCAGACCCAAGGGTACGCCAGACATAGAGCAATGCTCTAATATACAGTGAGATCTCAGGGGAACCAAGAGGAGAAAACAACCAGGCTGCTCAAGAAACAAATCCTGCCTATGGTTCCCCCTGCACGTTGACAGGGCAAAGAAGATGTGGCCATAGATGAACCATTTAACGGTGTGTTGTTTGCCTCCCAAGGATTACTACTATCTATCTGTGAAGGCTCTGTACACGGTGGGATACAGCACTTCTCTTGTTTCTCTCACCACTGCCATGGTTATCCTGTGTCGTTTCAGGTGAGTCAGGACATGAACGGTGGGCTGTTCAGTCACTGGAGGAAAGAGGCTAGAGCTCATAGGCCCAAAACAATGTTTAAGCTTTTAGCTCACCAGATATAGAATAAGAGGGAGATAACCCTTTAACAGAGTTGTTCCCCCAGCTTAGGCACACTCCAGTATTCACATTTTGGTAGACTGTAGATGTAACTGCAGAAGCTGTGGGTCTATATTATGTGACTGCAGTAGCTGCATTGGACTGGGTCTATTTTATGCTACCCCGCATGCTTTTACAGGAAAATGCCCAAATCCTCCTCTTGGTCAGGTTTAGGGTCAGTATTATCCACACACTTGATCTTCAGACATTGTTATTCTTATCACCAAGGTGCTAGGAGCTCTGGCTATGTACGCAGATAGGCCTAGTGTGCTATTTCCATGAAAGAAAAGCCTTTTTTTTTCTTTTCCTCTCCCTTGCTCTTTCCTCTTTAGGAAGCTTCACTGCACTCGAAATTTTATCCACATGAACCTCTTTGTTTCATTCATCCTACGTGCAATATCTGTATTCATTAAAGATGGGGTTCTTTATGCTGAACAGGATGGCAACCACTGTTTTATCTCAACGGTAAGTAAAACCAAAGCCAAAGCCTTTTCCTTTTTTATTTCAGCATGAGATAACAAAAAATAGCGAGGAAGGCAGCAGCCCGTTGGGTATATAGGCTGAGAAGCTATTGGGAGAGAAGGTAATTGTTGGTAAAATTCCCTCCAGGTTCACAACAAAACTGTGGATGGTATTGTCTCATGATGTCATCAGTGTCCAGCGGTCTGTCCTTTAGGACAAACCTACAAGTTTCGGTTTCTAACTCTACCCAGGTTGTTTCTCCCTTTCACAGGTCTGCATAGTGATCGGTGGGATGAGAGCAGACACAAGCAATTTCCTTCATCTGAAGGTCTGGTTTTTCTCCAGAGCCTTATTTGTTCTGGATGTCAGGCAGCGTCATGTGTTGAGAGGGTGACCGTTCAGACGTAGAAAATATCCCTGACGGTCACACTCTCAAAAAATCATTAGTATTAGCCACGTGTTTGTCTCTGAAGTGTGTGGTTTCAAGGAAAGCAGTCTCTTTCACAGATGCACTTAGCTATATATTACATGTAAATCCCAGCTCCTTTCACATTTAAGGCTAGTATTTCATTTGATAAATCAGCTCACTGGGTGTAATTATGATGGAATTACAGTGAGTTCCCAAACTGAGATCTCCTTTATCCATCCAGTTATAAGCTAAATTCGCTATGAGTCACTTCCACAAGGAAAGTGCAGCTGTATAGTTTCTTAGTCAGCATTTTCTTTGTCATTGAAACTAGTTTTTGCTTTTAATTCTTCTCCATAACAAAGCTGAAGCTATGTTAGATCTGTAGTTTATTCACACCACTCTTCTAATAGTGGCATCTGCCTCTGTTTTGAAACACTTGAAGCATAAAACACATTAAAATCAGCCATCTAATGACCAGATCTTCAGCCTTGGTAGAACTTCCATGGAGAAACTCAAGATCTGATGGTTTAAACATGTTGGTTGTAGATTTGTCCCAGACGATGGACTGCAAGTGGGAACCAGCCAAAATTGTCAGCCTCCCACTGCCCCAGGCAGGAGCTTCCAGCTTATACACCGATTCTGCTCTGATTTGTTGAAAGGTCCTGCTTTGGTAGGACTAACGATGTCTCACTGGGATGCAACTTTGGAAAGACAAGTGTGTCCTACTCTCACAGAATCAGGGTAGAGCTTGGTTTCCACTTAAGGCTTTCATCATAGAATCATAAAATCATAAAATCATTAAGGTTGGAAAAGACCTCTAAGATCATCAAGTCCAACCGTCAACCCAACACCACCACGCCCACTAAACCATGTCCCTAAGCACCTCATCTACACGTCTTTTAAATACGTCCAGGGATGGGGACTCAACCACTTCCCTGGGCAGCCTGGTCCAATGTTTAACCACTCTTTCAGTAAAGACATTTTTACTCAGGTCCAATCTAAACCTCCCCTGGCGCAACTTGAGGCTGTTTCCTCTCGTCCTATCACTTCTTACTTGGAAAAGAGACTGACTCCCACCTCACTCCAGCCTTCTTTCAAGTAATTGCAGAGAGCGATAAGGTCTCCCCTCAGCCTCCTTTTCTCCAGGCTAAACAACCCCAGTTCCTTCTTTTTTTTTTTTTTCTTTTGTCCGCTGCTTTTCACCCCAGTAAATGAATGAAAGCTTCTATCGTTTTTTACAGTAAATCACCCTGCTTTCTTTACACTTACGCTTACTTTCATTTTCTGTCCCCGAGTGACAACACCAGCAAATGGCAAGGAAGTACAATTCTGAGCTGCACACAGGAGGGTGCATCCTTTCTGATCCCACTTTCAAGGCTTTCCACAATCCTGTCATTTCACATCCTTCCTTAGGTTTCTCAATACATAACTATATTCTTTTCTTCTCTGCACTTAATCCTTGGAAAGGGGGCTTAAATCTAGCAATTAGCATCCATTGATGGTGTGAACTCCCACTAATACAAGACGTTCTCAAGCTGTCTGCAGACACTTGTCAACCACCTCCCACTGGCAAAATTGGTTACCTGCCCTTTCTAGCTTTGCTCTCTAAGTGGCACCTCACATTCTTCTCATGCTTTTAAAACTTTACTATTAAAAGTGTATAACACCAGTCCCAGCTGTGTTCCTTTCCACTAAGAGATTTGGAGAGGTTGAAAGCATTTTCTCTATCTGTTAGGCAGAAACAACATGGAAATAACTTTGTTTTTCTTGATTCTCTGCAGGTGGAATGCAAAGCAGTGATGGTGTTTTTTCACTACTGTGTCATGTCCAACTACTTCTGGCTTTTCATTGAGGGATTGTACCTTTTCACTTTATTGGTAGAAACCTTTTTCCCAGAGAGGAGATATTTCTACTGGTACACTATTATTGGCTGGGGTACGTGACATTTCTTGTCTAAAATGTGTCTCAGTGTGCAAGACGACTCCACAAACCATCTAATATTTCCATATACAGTTTCAAAGTATAGTTTTAGTCTTTGTGTAGAAGTACCACTGCAGACCGAACCGTGTTGTGCTTTTTTGTCTGAATAGGGTTGAACAGAAATCTGGAGGACACCGCATCTCTTGCAGACATGTAGTCCACAATTACTAATTGCTTTCTACAAGATATGATCTTAATGCCGAGTTCTTCAGCTTAATCAAATCTGCAATGCTCAGTCTAGTCCAAGACTTCATTTGTGCCTTTCTTCCAGTTAATAGGCAAATTGAAAATGTATCCAAAGGGTACCCACATATGCTCATCCTACCTGGATGGGAAATGGAAACTTGCAATGGGAAGAAAAAAGATTTGTTTCAGAAAGGCCAGTTGTACGATGATAACCAGTGTAATTATTTTTCTTTCTGGCCTTCTGGAGAGAAATTGATTCCTGCAACATGTTAATTCAAACAGTTCTTTGCTGATGTTTTTGCACAGAAGTCAGATCGTGAATGCAGAAGAATACATTCATTTTAAATGTACCCTAAGAAGGTTAAGCTCAATTTTTATACTTAAACAAACACACTTCTGAAATATTCTGGAAATAATCTTGTATATATATGTGTAAAATCTATATATAAGCCACATGCCTTAAACTATTCTCCTTTGAAAAAAACATCATCATGTAACCCAAACCTTCAAGTAATCCACAGCTGGTTTTGTTTTTTCCCTCCTGAGGCAGCTCTATATATACAAAAATTCTCATCTCCTGGCAAAGACTCCCTACAAGCATATAAAGGCTATTGGAAAAGATGGCTATTGGAACAGAAACTATTGGAAAAGGATGTTCAAAGTTCCCCTTGTACTATCCACAGATGTATAATCACATTATAGCTGAGATATAAGGCTGTTTTCAAAGAGAACTTGGGGGTTATGTACCTGAAAATGTGACGATTATAAAAGAAAACAATGTATAAAACTTTGCAATCTGAACATGGACCAGAGTTTGGGTTCCTTTAATTAAGTTTACACAAATTTCATATCTGTAGGTTTGTCTTAATGTGAGAATATTGCAACACAACATATCAACTGATTTTTTTTTTCTTTAAATCAGTCTTTGTAATGAAAGAACTACCCAGATGGATTCATTCTGTAATGCAACTTCAACATATTTGGTCTTCAGTTGAATACCATAAATAATACCTAGCTGTTCAGTTTATAGATATCACTTCATATTCAAAGCAGTATCAATAATATCTATTAATAACACTAAGAGAATCTCCAAATGTGGATGATTTTGGTTTTGTTTTATTTTTTAAATACAATATTTTCTCAGCTCCTGCATATTTCAACTTGAATAGTGGTTCCCCTGACCTGGCAGGAGTAATTGGCACTTTGCAAGAACAGAAGCACTTCCAGACTCTGGATGCAAGTCACGTAGGGCAAAAGCAGCCCCTCAGCTCAGAGCTGATGGGGAAGGAGTTGCATTGAAGCAGCAATAAACAAGAGATCAGCATTTTGCAGCATCTGGATGTTTATCTGTTTCTTAAAATGCGCTGAGCACATCAGTGTCCTCATTTGATTAATGAGAACTGCGTATGTCTCTGTTGATCCAGACAATTTTTCCTCTTAAATATGTAATACGCTGGTAAGTTCTCTGGATAGACTGCTGTCTTCCTGAGATATCTCCTAATGCCTGCTCCTTACTCAGGGCAGAAATACAGTCAGCAAGAACAGCTCGACTCAGCCTTTGAGGCTTGTCTGTTTGCTGATGTTACTCAGAAGCTGAAAAGAAAGTGATGAAGTTATATATAACTTTTGATGTAAAAAAAAGTAATGTGAGTATATGTATATTCATATAGCAGATGGTTCAAAACTCCAAACTGATCTGAAACGTGCTTTTTGAACTATATTTTTGTGACACATTTAGTCTAATTCTGCTTTCCTGCCCATGTTTCAGACTTGGAACACTATTCATACCATCAAAATTTATATAATGCAAATCAGTGCAAACTAGATAGCACGTCAGACCCATGATTGATATTTAAAGATTATTTTTATTATTGTGCATCTGTTAAGTGCACAAAGATCTCAATGTTTTCTAGGTATTCTCATGTGAGAAAAACAGACTTCAATTTAAATTAAATATGCATGATTTCTTCTCCCCAAAGCCTGTAATTTTATTTCTTTTTATCATTTTCCCTTCAAATATTCCCGTGTGTGCTTTTTTAAAGGAGGAGGGCTTCATCAGTCATCTAGGTCTATCAGGGATATTTTTATTTCTGATAGCAAAAATATGAGATTTGACAGAGACTCACTTCAGTGGATTCAGTCGAGTGACTAATTAATGTGACATCAACACAGCCTTGCAAAATGTATGAAACATAATTGTTCCTGTCAACTTATGACAGTCTCGTTCACCGCTGCAAGCTGGGGTTATCAAGGTCCTTGTTTTGTTTGCTTTTTAGCACTTTATCTTTCTAGTGGTGCCTGAATAGATGTAGGCAGTTCCTAGTCAAAGATTTTATTCGTCACAAAATGCAGATCCAACTTACCCAGACTTTTCTTGCAAGACTGCATTATTTTTTTAAAATATTTCCACCGAAAACCACACTTGTAGTGTTTTCAGAAAGGAAAATAAATCCAGGTTTCTCAGCGGATTCTTACAGTTTTCATTTAATTTGTATTTTACATGCATTTTTTAAAGAGTAAAGGAATGTCTGAAATAGAAGTGAAATTCTTGCTCCCAATATTCTCTTTTGGGGGCTTGGTTTTGGTTTTTTTTCCATGAAAAAAAATGAAACATTCCTGTGAGTAATGGAATACTATCCTCTACTGATTTCTTTTGGTTGAATAAGTAAAGCAAAATCAGTTATTTACACAATAACAGAGAAATTGCAATACGTGCAAATCTTTTACAACAAAACCACATAAGGATACAAAGAATACAATAATGCCATTACAGCTCAACATCTGCCATTCACCAATTATTGCATAATTACAGTAGCCCTAGACACGGAAGCTGATGTCACTGCTTTTATTTTCTACAGACTATGTTTTAATGTTCATGCAACAAGATGCAGTACAACAACTTTGAGCAATAATGACCTGAAACAACATCACTGTTTCCTGTTATCAGTTTTGCTTCTGCAATCCCACCAAGACTAACCCTCCTCTGACTGAGACAGATGTTTCTAGAGCTCTGGATTAATGCAATGAATCACATTTTTTCGTGCACAAGTGCTATTAGGAAATAAAACCTCAGTCGAGAGGTTGCAAAAAGTGCTCATTGCTGAGTACTAAATGTGCCTAGGCTGCTAACGAGATCACCATCTTATCTTCTGCAGGTACCCCAACAATTTGTGTCACTGTCTGGGCAGTGCTGAGACTTCACTTTGATGATACTGGGTAGGTATTGCTGCGTGGGAAATCATTTCACATCCATTCAGCACGATGGCAAGGATGAAACAGAAATATAGCGATCAGAGGACATGACTGATTTCTCCTTCCATTTCTGACACTGATTTGTGTATGCAAGTAGCTTAGGTCCAGTGTTCAACCTAGAGTGTTTTCCTGTTCAGCTGCATAAATAGCCATAGTTCGATGTTTATGTCCCTATTGCACTGGTGAATTCATGAGAGAAGATGTAGGCATCTACCCTGTAAACCTGCAGCTGACCCAGTGGCCCTCTGTTCGCCGCTCTGTTAAATTAGTGGAGTCCAGGATATGGTTATCTCATCGTAAAAGAGCTGCCAGGTGAATCACACCTGTGATTGTCTTCTCTCCAACTGATTATGAAGGAAGATGAACGTGATGAGCTCATTTGTAGAAATTATTGCAGATATCGCTGATGTGATGAGTGCTATCTGCACAAGGAGTTGCTGAGCTTTGATTTACAAAGGCAATTAGGAGTTTAGCTTCCCCTTGGAGAGTTTTTTTGCACAAATCTAGTGCGGGAGATGAGTAGAGGTGAGACAGAAATCCACATCCTGTCTTCTGTGTGAAAAAAAATGAGGAAATGGAATAATTTCTGAAAGAATTCAAGAGGGTAGATTCCAACCAAATGGTTTCTTTCTGCAGGGGAAAAAAAAAAAACCTGCAAAGATCCTCTATCCTTTTCTAAAGGACCAGAAGAAAAGGCTGCTCCCAGAGATGGCTCTGCCCATCTCAGTAGTCAGAAGATTGATTGGTCTGATAGAGCAGCAGACATAGCTGGTAGGAAAGGACATGAATACACCTTGAAAATACAAACTTAGCAATGTTTTTTGTTTTGTTTTGTTTTGTTTTTGTGACAGCTATGTTTGAAATTGGTGAAATGTTAGGAAAAATGCTGGGAATGAGGGAGACTGAAGTTGGACTAGGTGATCATTGTGGGTGCCTTCCAACTGAAACAGTCTATTCTGTTCTGTTCTGTTCTATTCTATTCTATTCTATTCTATTCTATTCTATTCTAAAATTTGGAAAATCCAGCAGTGGTCCTCTGAAAACCTTGATCTGAGTGAAAGGCATCGTTATGTACCCAAGTCCCATTTCCAAGAGACTTAGGCTTATATTTTAATTTTGCCTTATACTAGAGATACCTGGATCCAAAATCTGCATAACACTCACTGTTCTGTCAGGTTTTCTTCATCCTTGTTCTTTCATGCTCTTTTTGGAAAGCACATAAAGCCCTTCCTCCACTGGGGATGCCAGTGCTTTGACCCAATGTTCTATTTTGACATTAAGACAAATTAAATCATTTATTTCCATGCAAAACAAGCCAGATACCCCTGTTGTGTCATTATTATGATTACAACACTGGTCCTAAATGCATTAATTTCTCTTAGGAGTCCAAACAGTCCTTGCATTTTGCGGGTGGGGGGAATGTCTCGCAGAAGGAAAAAGAAGAAAAAAAACAACAAAAAAACCTTTCCTTTCTTTTAGTTAGAGAAGCTATTTAGCATGCAACACATTTAGACAGATTCTAGCTAAGCGTCTCAGTGGCTACTTTTTAAAAATCAGCAAGCATTGTTCTGGGGGTGGGGAGAGAAGCCAGCGTGAGCCTGAAAACATTGCAGAAATTACTGAACTGGGAAACCACAGTTGCAAAGGCATGGACTAAAATACAGACTCTGAGTCTGAGTCTCCTCCTGCTTGCTCCTTATCAAACTGGCAGAGCTCCCTTGACTTCAGCTCCTGATTCACATCACTGTAAGTGACAGGTTTGTGGAGATAAATGCAACTGTCTGTTTATCCAGAGCTGTGCTAGTGAATTAAATGGAGTTATTCCAGATGTACACCAGAGATGAACAGAGATCAGACTCTGGCCTTTTCAAATGGAAATCACATCCCTCCCCCATCCCACTGGCTCCCTTCCCTTCATCCTTCCTGAAAAAGAGTCCTGTGTGTCTGACCTCCACTGTAGCAATGCATTTGCAAGAAATTAGGGAGCCTGTTTATGTAGTACAGCTTGTTGGCTGGTATTGCAGACTGTTCTGTGCCACATTGCTTTTTTTTCCTTCTGGTCATGTTCATCTGAGGAGGAGATGGTGTTTCTTCCACCACATCCATGCTATAGATCTCGCAGAGACTGGACAAAAAAGACCTTGAAAAACCCTTTGTGTGAGCTTGATCTGGTTCATTGTTGACATCTACAAGGTAGACATTGGCAACTGAGCTTGCTGGGGACACATCCTGTAAAAGGAAAGGAATAGACGTTTGTAGGGGCTGATGTATCGCCCCAGAGTACACATTTAAAACACATCAGTGTGGAAAAAAAAACCAAACAACAACCTCCAAGTGTCTATTTGTCCCAACCAGAGTCCAGGATAATTAACTGGGCTCTAGATGTCTTCAATACAGATGACTGGAACTAGAGCAGGTAGATTCCGTCCCCTGTAATTTCTCATTTCTACACAGACAAATTGCCATACACCAACGCCTGTTTGTACAGCCAGAGTAGTATTAGAATTTGCCCAGATTCTTCCAGCATTGGTCAACTCACTAAAGACTTTCAGGGTAGATTTAATGTGCATCTCAGAGAGGCTGAGCTCTGCAAATAGTGGGTAATTTTCAGAAGAGGGCACCTAATTCATAAATGCATACAAAGAATTGAAAAGATAATTGGTGATATTAGGTGGGGGGGTTTTGTGGCATACAATTGTTGATAACTGAAAAGACCCTGATTTCCAGAGCATGGGTGAGAAGGAGTTCCCTCTGAACATTTGACCCCTTTCAAATACTTTAAATTGGGCATCCAAAGTGAGGTAACTCAGAAATGTTACTTTGCATTTGAAAATCTCAGCCATCAGTCCCATAGATTTTGGGGTATTTTAAGTTTCTAGGCTTTGTAGACAGAAGCAAAAATATGTAATTTTGTGCAAATTTGACATCCCAGCTCTATATTTTCTCTCTTCTCACCAGCTCTACCACACCCCCCCTTATTTTTGGTTTTATGGGAATCCAGTAAAATATTGTTCACCTGCAATATAATAAATAGTGTTCAACTGAAAATATAAGTTCAACTGAAATTTCTAAACCAGACATCACTCAGCTGCTTGGGATTTCTCTCATATGGACTTTGATGATGGAATTTTAGCTCTGACCCCTCACACTTACGCAATACATGTATATAGTTTTGTTTAAAGTTAAGATTTTCACTTTTCCCCCAGATGCTATGACTACCATTTAAATGACACAGAAGTTGCATTAAGCTCTCATAAGATCAGCAGTGTTTTATTCCCGTACGCTCTTTCAAATTGTTTCTTGGCATCTGACAAATGCACCATGACAACCACTGCTGGGACTTTTGGCTGTTGTCCCAGTGGGAGGGAAACCCTCCTTCTCAGAACTGCAGGTACAAAGTAGACATTTTTCTGTGATTTTATGTTTTCCAGAGGGAAGCATGAGGGGAAGAAAGCGGAGAAAAATAGAAGACATTTTTTAACTGACAATCGAATTCTTAATGATTTAAAATAGTGTACCGGGGTGGTGTGGCAGGGGAAATAAGAATTTTTTTTTTCATTATTATTGTTTTTCTAGCCTTAAAAATATATGATAAAGTTTAAAACCCATATGTATATGGGTCCTGTAATTAGCTTTCTCTACAAATGAATGTCCAAATGCATCCATATGGAATAAACTTCAGCAGAATCCTTTGGTGAATGTGGAGGAAGATTTTAAATGCTGAGGTAGAAATGCCATTTTATTTATGATCACTCACTCCCAACAGCTTAAAAAAGGAGCTGACCCCAACTGTTGTCCAGTACTTGAACCTTCTTAGATGAATCCTTGCTCCTTGGTAGGACTTGCAACCCAATGACTGGAAAATCATCCCTATTTGTGAATACAACCAGCCTCTAGTACGTCCTCGTGTACTAGATATGTGTAAGAATCCTCATGTCAGGGTCAGAAACCAACATTCATATCTGTTTACCCTGGAAAAGTAACTGAGACATCAAACTTTGGAATAATCATCTCTTACCCTTCGAGGCATCCTTGCCTTTTTTTCCCTTCTATTGAGATGTTAGCTTAAAGGGACAATTTTACAGTTGTACTGTCTGTAGATACAGAAACATGCATAGAGGCATTTTCCAAAATGGCTAAACTGTTTAGTAAGAGGTACCACTGAAATTGCCACAAAAAGACTTATTTTACTTTCAGGTAAGTTGGGTAAAGGCTGTAAAAGAAAGCTGCAACAGGGACAGAGTAAAGAACTAGTACCTTTGAACCCAAATAAAATAATTTAGCTACAAGACCAATCTCCCACTCTCTGCCCCCTTAAAAATTGTTGTAAGTTTATTAACTTCCTTGTTATATCTCTGTTTCTCTTTCCTTCTCTTTCCCCACCCCATTCTTTCATTAACGACTGCAGCTGCTGGGACATGAATGACAACACCGCCTTGTGGTGGGTGATCAAGGGTCCTGTGGTTGGATCAATCATGGTAAGTAGCACTTGGAGAAGGTGCTTCCTCAACACTTCTGAGGGCAAATAACCAATGCAAATAGCTTCAAATGGCTTTACAAACGATGCTGCATCTGCTGTGCTGGACTACTGGACAGCTTGTCTGAATGTCCACCATTTGCCATCCAGAATGCTAAGTAATTCCTCTGTTATAAAGAAGATTTAGTACAAGTTAAATGATGGTGCACTGCCTGCAAGCAAAGACTATGTAGCCAAGGAGTTATTCAGTTGCTTAAACATAGACACCAAATGCCATAAGTAAGACCCTAGAGCATATGGAGCATTTGCCTGGGGCTGGCAGATACGACACAGGATGTATGGGAATCCTGTGCCATTGGGGTGGCAGCTGAAGGCCAAGTGGGACAATCCAGGGCATCTAAAACAATACTAGATGCCAGTGACTAGGAAACTGGACTGTGTCTGTTGAATTGAATTCATTTCACAGCTACATTTATTTATCTAATATTAGCTTTATAATGGTATTGTGGACATTGTGCAAGATGTTCAATTGTCAACAAGGCATCTAAGCTCTCTTTGGTTGATGGAGGTCTTGGATTTGACTCAAATGATGCTAGATACCTGTGTATGGATGACTGAGAGGTTCTAAAGTACTCTGTTTGGGCTCCGGCTGCTGCCCCAAAAGAATATGGAAATTTTAAAATGGCATTGGTCTCCTCCAGTTAGGAAATTAAAGTGAGCCCCTAGACAATATGGTTAGTGGCACCTGAAAAGCTGTTTGGCTTACCACATGTAGGTGTCTAATTCTGGGCATGCTAAGTTGCTCTCCGCACTCCAGTGACAGTGCTGGCCAGGTCTCCATTGACTGTTGTGGGAATTTAGACATCCAGCTCACAGGTAGCTATCTACAGGTAGGTGTTTTCATCAGGTTTGGTGCTTCTCCTTTTAAGTATTTGGACAGCTGTCTAAAGGACAGTAACCTTCAGACACATTAAAGGTAATTCAGCTAATAACACTGAAGGGTATCAAGATGGAGAGGGTCCAATGGTCTGGGGTTTTTTTGTGATATTGATGCATGTGAATTTCCATGCTTTACAGACATATTTTATGAAGGATCATATTCTGGCTTTGTGGAATCAGTTATACCTGGCTTCTGTTGAAGGCATTAAAGATTCAGGCAACTAGCAAGGGATGACTGGGCTTCTCCATTCATTTGTAGTTCTCAGATCAGATAGAAAATACTTCTGAAGGAGGTGCTCATATCTAGTTTAAGTTCTTGGTCTCCTTACAGGAGTACAAGGTTGCATAAGAGACCAACTTAAGTTTCCCACTGTTTTCTTCTAGCATTAATCTGAAGACAAAGCATTGAAATAAACTGATTTTATTAGTCTCCAAATTTTTAAAAATATATGTGTAATGACATGATGCTACAAAAGAGAAAATGCCCAGGATGACATGAAACTAAAAGACATAAAGAAGAACATTAAACACCCCCACACACACATGCACTCCTCCCCTCCCAAAAACATTAGAGGTCATCTCACCTTGGGACAGACTCAGCCAAACAGAGGGAAAGTGACACAACTTGGGATTTCCAGGAAAGGAGAGACACTAAATTGTGACTTATGGATGCTGCTGAACTGAGAAATGCCTTAGTTCAGAGAACGGGAGATAAAGATGCTTTTACTGTTGAGATCTTTGTTATTTGGTTTTGATGTGCAGGGATCTTTCTTTTTATTCTTTGCACTGGTTGATAATGAAAAAAGTTGAAAACTTTTCACTTATGTTTGTCTTATCTGGTGCTTGGGACTGAAGAAATTCTGCCTATAGCTGCTGCAAGGGGGATATTTTTGCCTGGAAAAGGGGCGATAAGATGCGTGTAAACTTATCCCATTACTCCTGTCCCTATAAAACTTCTAGACTGCAGTTTGGAGAAGAATAAGGCAATGGAGCCAGCAAGTCACTGGGAACATCTCATTCTCATACTTGAAAAAATATATCATTGTCGTAATTTTTTTCTTTCTTTTTCCCCTAGATAAACTTTGTGCTTTTTATTGGCATAATTGTGATACTTGTGCAGAAACTCCAGTCACCTGATATCGGGGGCAATGAGTCCAGCATTTACTTGTAAGTACAAATAAAGCAGTAATCAATTCAGATTTCTATTATACACATAGGAAAAAAGACAAAGTCAAAAAGATGCCTCAGCTGAAGTAATCTGATTTTCAAAAAGAGTCACAGCATCTATTAAATTTATTTGGATGATTTTGACTTTTTTTAAATCCAAAAGCCACTAAAGTGCATTTTAACACCAGCTTTCACCTTTCTTTAAAAGGCCTAGGAAAAAAAGCATAAACATTAAAAAAAAAACCTAAAAAACAAACAAACAAACAAAAACTTCTTTACAGGTCAGTTATCTGGAAATTAACATACTGACCAGGCATAAACATTATTATACTCGTGGGACAGTCTGCTGTGCTTCATACGTTCCAGGGACATGGTCCAAAGTTCATTGAAAGCAATGAGATTTGGCAAAAAGATTTCATTAACTTTGGACTGAATTCTAATTTAGGAAGCTGTCCTAAAGTGGCTTATGTTCATGTTTCTGGTAACCTTGAATACATTCAACTTAAGCCAAAAAATTCCCCCACGCAGCTAGAATTGCTTAAAAATGCACAACAAATCCTAAAATTTTCCTGTAGAAGTTTGAAAACTTTCTTTGTGGTTTACAGTTTTTTAAAGCCGACATCCTTTTTGTTAGTTTCCACCTCATTAGAGGACAGAAATTGGCCATTTGAGATGGTCGTCATTCCCATTTTGAGTGCATGCAGTCATTCTCCATAGAAAAATTATATCATCATTTTGAATAACTAGGATATGTGGCAGCACGTTTGGTGTTTTCTTGGCTTTTCAGCCTAAACACCACGCACATTTGCTTTGCAATTTTTTGTGAGCTCTAGTGATTTCTAGCACTCATAAACATAGGTAAGACTATTTGATTTAACACTGGATTCCTGGAAAAAAAAAGCAAGTCATGCAAACCTTAAATAAAAATAAAAGATGTCAGGGTAAAGTAGGAGATCCTTATTTTGTAGTACTTTTTTAAAAAATTATCCAGTGATCAGTTTCACCCTAAGTAGCCACACTCATAGTATAATGATGTCATCCATCTAAATGACAATTTTCAGGGAAAAATATGTCCTCCGGCTGCTTATTTTTCTTCCTTTCTTTCCTATTGTCTTGTTTACATTTACATGAAATGATAATATTTTATGCCTCACTTTTCCACCTCCATAGTCAGACATCCACTTACTGAAAGTACTGCCCTTCAAGTTTGCTCTAAACTGGGTTACCACAGACAAAAATAATGCTTTAAATTCATTCTGCAGGTGGATATTTCTCAGTATTAAAATTCAGGAGAAAGCGTAGTGAATAGGTTAACTATGCATGGTTTGCCTAGGGCTTGCATGAAAACTTCCCATGTATGTGCTGCTGGGAAGTCGCCCACTGAATCTTAGACTGTAATTAGCACCCAAGATGTGCAGAGCTAGTTCTGATTACGACCTGCGAAGTGCATGTTTGGTGTCTGCTGCACATCTCTCACATATGAAGCAAAGCATGCCATAGACTCCAGTGATTTAACTAGACGATAAAACACCCTTGTCATTTTTGATCAATATGGTGACTGGGTTTTACTGCTATTTTTCCTATGTGTATAGTTAGCCACCAAAACCAAGAGAAAACATCATATTTTCTGTTTCATTCGCTGCCATTATTTTCCATATTTTTTTGCAACTTTATAATGGGTGTGTATAAATTGATCTTGCATTTATGTATGTGTTATGAAGTGGAGTGTTGTTTATCCAAACAGATTTGACAACAGAAAAGTCACACAGAAACGATAAAAAGAAATGAAATTAATAAGTCTATGCAGATATACACCAGGCATACTCAACATTTGCGCACACATGTCCTGTAAAAAGAGAGCTGTTATAAAGAAGAAAAAAGATAGATCATAGTATGGTTATGTCACCATATTGAAATCTCTGTGGCATTTAGACTGTGGTCCCTATTAAGCATTTTCCATGTCCTATTTTGCTGCTTCAAACTGAAACATCATCCCATCAGACCAAATTCTCCATCCAGATCTTTATTCCACAACATATTTAAGTACTTTGCCTTTAATACATGAGACAGATCAGTTGTGGTCGAGGAAGGATGTTCAGCCTGTTTCTGAAGGAAATATCACATGATATCTGCAGTGGTGATTGAGATTTACTCTGGTATCAATCTTCTACTCTTTGGAATAACCTTTTAGCTAGGATTTCCATCATCAAAAAAAAGAAAATAAAAGACCCCACAAAAATTTGGTTATTGATTTTGAGTAGGATTTATTTTCTTATATGTATGGTACATGTTTATGTTCAGGCCCTTTTAATGATTATTTTTATTAGGAAAATCTGCCTCCAGTTCTATTTTATAGACACTATGGTCATGGTTCCGCAAATCACTTAAGCCTGTATTTGGCTTCAAAAGCCTTGGGGATGTGCTTAAATTCAAAGATTAATTATATATTGTTACCACTGTGCACTCATTGTTAAAAATTCCCACTACTGAAGTTAGCTGCGAGCTATGACAGGAACACAAGAGAAGAGTGCGCTACTGGGGAACTAATGCTGAATTAACACAGTATAGCCACTAGAAATTTTAAGACTTGCTTTATAAAAAACCCAACACAATAATTTGTATAATTTGCAGCAAATAATGACTGCTTTATCCCCATAAAATCCAGACTTTCTCTCTAAATAACCTTTCTGATGGTAATTGTATGCAATAACCTTTGCCTTTAGGCTGACAAAAACTTGGAAACATGTGGCTAACTCCTAACAACTTTCTGCAGTAGTCAAATGCTTTAGTGGTTGTAAACTCCCATTTTATCAACTTGTATCTTCAGTCATTCATTACCAGTCTCATGCCTAATCGATCTTTCTTCACACATTTAATTCCCCCTCAATGCTGCCTGCATGTTGCTGATCCCATTTCAGACTGAATGGCTCAAAATATGTCAGATTCTGAGAGAACAATAACTCCGTCCTTCTTTTACTGATGTTTTAGATAGAAACTCCTCCTTATGGCTGAAATGATTGGGGGCTAGAATCATCAAAAATATCTAAGCAGCTGAGGTAGGAATTAAAAAGGAAATAGAAGCTACCCTTTCTAATGTTCATTTTAATTTTATGATTTTTTTCTTTTTCTGAGAACCTTAAGCAGCTTCCATACTTCCTCCCGGTAGTCATCATAATAATTATTTACTTTTTAGTGTTAGGAGTAAACTGCCAAAGGCATAAAAAAGACATAACTGTTTCTTGAACCATGTTCCAGTTTCAGTTAATCTTGTGTCAGTCCGAATAATTCCACCAAATTAAGCATCTAACCAAAGCAAGTCCAGTAATACAAATGCAATAGATTTTTATCTGAGTGAGTTGTTCTGAGATCCTCAGGTGCTGGAGAAGCATAAAGTGATACCGATTGTGTTCCTAGTGTAATTAAGACGACTATCTGCATAGTTCAGACAGGTTTCTTGCCCCATCTGGTGAATGAATTGCATAAGCAACTGTAATGTGCCACGATCATGGACATGACATGCTTAATCCTATAGTACAAATGACAATGTCTTGTATTTGTACCTGTACATTCAATCCAGCTAGATTTTACTTAACATGCTTCGAAAGAGAAAGCACTGCCTGTTTTTTAGCAATCTCCAGTTGCACAGTTTGTAAATATTTTGAAGAAGTAGTAGATTATTTAGGGACACTGTTACACCATATGCTCAAAGCCAAGTAACACCACATCAGATGTCCATGAATCCAATGTGCACTCACAGTTCTGGGGACTGGAAACACATATTCACAACCCTACTATGGCTGGCTCAGCACACTGCATCACATCAGGCCCACATTATTTGCGTGGATTTTCATACATCAGTCCCTTGTCTGGAATTGTAGGAAACAGATAATAGATTGATCTGGCAAGGCTTCACTGTTTTTCCCATGGGAAATCCAGCCAATAGTGTGTAACATGGTATGTCAGAACCTGCTTTCAGGCATCCTGGTTTTGGTCAAGTTGTTGCAGAGAGAGTACATTCACCCCCCAAAAAAACCCATATTCCTATAGAAATTGCCTACACAAAGCTTAAATCCACATTATTATTTTCATGAGCATTGTTGCATTACCAAAAGAGTCATTATAGACAGAAGATCATCTAACAGTATCACTACCATAAACCACTACAGAGTTTAAGTAGGTATGCATGATGTAGATGCATGCTGGAATAGCCCTTAAGATTGAAAAGGCCCACACATTTCCATCAAGTCTTTGCTTATTCATTCATTTTCAAGGATCAAACACTGAAAAAGCTTCTTTTGGTTTTTTTTTTTTTTTATTTCCAGTTTATCATGAATAGTATAATTTGGGAGGGGGAAGCTTGTTTCTGCTTTTGCTTTAACAGATTCTTCATAAATTTTGTATCACATGTTGAAAACTCAATGAAAAGAAAATAAACCCCACATATATCTAGCTAATTCAGGTCTACGTCATTCCTCCAATCAGCATCTTGCTGGAAAGAAAGGAGAAACATGGCATATATCATAGGTAGGTATGATTTTACATATGGTGCAACCTAGAGGGTTAGGGCAGGAGAAGCAATGTTATAACACAAATGTTTTGGTAAACAACACTCCTCTACAGTTCACCTGCAAAGTCACTGGACACTCAATGATTCATTCTGCTACCGCTTTGTCTTGCTGCAAGTGCTCAGACTGCCAGCATTAATAATTATTGACAGGGTCTTCATGCCAAAAGTCTCATTTTTGACGAGAAAATGGCAGATGTTTAATGAACGGTATATTCTTTAGCATGGCACTTTAATATCTTAACCCCAGGTACTATCAGTTGAGTGCTGGAATGCCCACTAACCCAGCAATGAAAGGAACTCCTGTCCCCGGGCTAATCCTTGTCTGTCACAAGAAAATACAGTGGAAAACATAAACAATGATCATTTGGTGTCAGTGCATGATCAGCAAGGACCTAGTCTCATTTCTAAGAAATGTTAGGAGAGTAGATGTTTG